CGGGCCCGCGGCCGGGTGGCTTGGCCCCTCGCGCTTGGCGGTGCCGTGTCCTCGGGCCTGAGGTGTAGCCTCCCGTCGGCGGCGTGACAGCAGCGCTCTGGTCATCCACCTCTCTGGGCCCGAGGGGGGGAGGGCGCCCCACAGCCTCTCACCAGCGCCGGGCGGTGCTGCGGCGGGAGGCGAGGCAGGGCCGGGCTGGCCCAGAGCCTCGCGTCTGTTTCTGGATTTTTGGTTTGACCGGCTGCAGAGTCGGAAAAGCTCCGCAGGAGTGGCACAGAATGCCCTCCTCTGCTCGAGCCCCCAGGTCGAACGCCCAGGTGCATGTCACCTTCCCAGAGCCCTCGGGGGTGCGTCCCGCCGCGCCCCTCGGCCCAGACACGCTGCGGGCGCTTCCTCCGCGTCCCCGCCTGGGGCGTCTCGGGTCGACATCTGCGCTCGCGGGTCCCCAGAGCCCAGGCAGCGCTCGTGCTCCGCGGCCTGGCCAGGCCTCTCCTGGGACTGCCGCTTGGCGACCGGGACGTCACCTCAGCCGTCTCGGTGCTGAGGGACCGGTGGGCCCTCGGCCAGCGTGTGTGGCCCGCGCGACACTGGCGTTGGCCGCGGCTCGTGCCTGTGGCGCCCTCTCACGGAGTCAGCCAAGAGGATTCTGGAAAACGGCGTCCCGCGCTGCGTGGCCAGCGCGGACGTGGTGGGGCCGCCGTGAGCCGGCTGTGCTTGCCTTGGGTCCGTCTGGGGGGCCGGAGGCGGCGAATACCCCCCCGAGCCCTTGGAGTCTTCGCACGGTGACGCGTGTCACTTCCCAGCCCCTTTTAGGGCACCGCGCTCACGCGGGGAGCCACTGGACGGCACTGGGCGCTGTCCAGAGGCACTCGGGTGCCGCAGCAGGGTGGGAGGGGATACTGGTGGGTGTCCTCCTGCCCCCAGGGTCCTTTTTCTTTTGGCTAGTTGATTAGTAAAAAGAAAGTGCAGATGGACTAGCAGGAGAGGAGAGGACACCAGCTCCCTAAGCATGGGAACCCGTACGAAGTGAGGGTCCCGGAGGCATTAAGGAAAATGGGGGTGTGTGTCCTGAGCCAAGGGTGGAGTCAGAGGGGCTCAACGCCGGGGGCTCCCGGCGCTCTGGCTGGGCAGCGGCCTTGGAGGTGGGCTCTCCGCGGGGCCTGCAGTGACCCTCCTGGCGGCGCCCCCCCCTTCTGCTCCTAGGCCGCAAGGCGAGGGGGAAGTTCCTTGGGAGCCGGCCGGCCCCGGCTGAGTTCAGCGTGCGGTGACCTGCACGCAGGCCGGCCGCAGAGGCGGCCCAGGACACCCCTGGGCGCTGTCGGCCGGGCTGGGGTGGGACAGCCCTGTCCGCGGGGTCCCAGAGGACTGCGCGGGCGAGGCCAGGAGCCTCCGGAACCTGACCTGGCTACCTTGGACCCGACCCGGCGGCACAGGGTGACCTCAGACGCTTCCAAGGCGAGATGGGCTGGCCCTGGCGGGGGCAGCTGACCTTGTTCCTGGGCGGGGAGTCAGGGTGTCTGTCGGAATTCTCCAGGGGCCTGGTGCTGCACCGCGCGGGGAAGGGCTGTTCTGGGGTCCCGCGGGGCCACAGCACTTCCCTCCCCACGGTCAGTCCACGACTACAAGATAGCAGGAAGCTTCCCAGGAAGCGGGGTGCTGAGGCTGCTCAGAGATAGTCTCTCCCCCTCAACTTTCTCGCCTCTAACGCTGAGCCCTCCCGCCCTTCTCTCACCTCTCCGGCCTTTTCCCGAGGCACCCTGCAGCGGGCTAAGAGACCTGCGCTTCCGGGCCGGTACCGGAGGAGGTGCGGACTATTCCGGGCGTTAGGGCCTGGCTCCCAGAGACTGATGTCGCTTACCTGGTGTCTAGATAGGTGGCGTTGGGAGAAAGCGAAGGGGTGCGCCTCCCCAGCACCCCCTGAGCGCTCTGCCCGTCGAGAGCCCGTCTGCCCGAGGGGCTGTGGGCGCGGTGGGCTGGCAGCCCCGTCTGCCGAGCGCTGAGTACAGAGGCGCCCCAGAACAGAGACCTGCCCTGTGCGCAGACGGTGCGGGCAGCCCGCCGCACGTGCCCGTTCGCAGCCGCGGGCTTGGGAACCCGTACGCCTGTCTGACGGCGCCTAAGCTCGTGTTTCAGCGCGTCGCACACAGTGACACCTGCTCGTCTCCCTGTGCCGTCGGTGGGCTCCTCGGGGCGCGTGTGGCGGCCGCTGTCGCTGTGACGGCGGCCGGCAGCCCCGGCTCAGGGAGGTCCTGGGTGGCCGGCGCTTCCCGGGACTGGGGTCGTGGTCACTTGGGGTGTCTGCGTGTGGCTGACGGGGTCCTGTGATTTGTCTTCCTAGTGATGATGGCCAAGGAGAAGCCGCCCATCACCGTGGTGGGGGACGTCGGCGGGCGCATCGCCATCATCGTGGTACGAAAGCTCGCCCTCAGCCATGGCCTCTGCCGGGGTCGGGTGACACTCGCTGACCTCTGCTCGGCCTCGGGCCGAGAGCCGGGCGGCCCTGCCCCCGAGGGGTCCTGGCGCAGCGCCGAGCGCCTGGGGGGTGAGGCCGCCTGTCCTGACCCTGTGCCTCAGCCTGCTCCCCCGCTCGGGAGAGGACACGCAGCGACTGTGCAGGACTTGTCGGGCCTTTGAGACGGGGACGCGGATCTGGGCGCCAGCGGGCGCCCTGCGACCAAGCGCGTGTGCTCTGCCTGCAGTGCGCAGCCGGCGGCTCTGACCCGGGCTGGGCTGGGAGCCGGTGGGGGGGGCGGGGGCGCCAGGCCTGGGCGGCTCCCAGACCCCTCCTCCCTCCAGGACGACATCATCGACGACGTGGAGAGCTTCGTGGCTGCCGCCGAGATCCTGAAGGAGAGGGGCGCGTACAAGATCTACGTCATGGCCACGCACGGCATCCTGTCCGCGGAGGCCCCGCGCCTGATCGAGGAGTCCTCCATCGATGAGGTCCGCTGTGCCCTCGCGAGCTCGGTCCGGGCGCCCCAGGCTCCGCCCTTGGGTGGCCCTGTGCCGGGAGCGTGTTTCAGGGGACACTGTGGCTCAGACTGTCCTGTTTGCGCCTGTCATTGGCCGCTGTGGGAGCGCTCCCGTCCAGACTGAGCCTCCTGAGAACGGGCGCGTCTCCCCGGCGGGGGCGCCCCGGAGTCAGGGCAGCGTGGGCCTGCCGGGAAGGCCGAGGGCTGTGCTGTGTCTGGGCGTCGCGGAGCCCATGGACAGTGAGGGCGCTAGTGACGGTGTTTCTGTTGGTCCTGACAGGTGGTGGTGACCAACACTGTCCCCCACGAGGTGCAGAAGCTGCAGTGCCCCAAGATCAAGACTGTGGACATCAGCCTGATTCTTTCTGAAGCGATTCGCAGAATCCACAACGGGGAGTCCATGGCCTACCTTTTCCGGAACATCACCGTGGACGACTAGGGGGCGCGCGCCCCGCCCGCCCCAGGGAGCTCACGACAGGCGGGCGGTGATGGCGCCCCGCGCTTCCTGGGGGCTGAGGGTCTCGAGCCAGGTGGCGCTCCGGCGGGAGAGAGGGCTGCCACGCTTCCGCACGGTGCGCACCTGGCTGAGGGGGCCTGAGGTCTGGGCGGAGAAGCCTCCAGGGCAGGCAGTCGCCAGTCCCAGGGCTGTTCCGCAGCGGGCGGCCCATGCTGACGCGGCGCTCGCCCAGGGAGGCCTTCCGCCCCGCGCCTGCTCCTGCCAGCCTCACGCACCTTTAGCAAGAGCCTGTGTCTCCCTGGGAAGCTGCAGTCCCACGGCCATTAACCAGCATTCCTGGTGTCGCCCCAGCAAGGATTAGAGAACTACGCCCTGTCCCTGGAGGTCTGTGTTGCTCTTAGGTTGCAAATAAAAGGATTCTTTGTCTTGCTGGTCTCACCACGCCCCACCCCTGCCTGCTAGGCGCCCGCTGCAGAACCTGGACCAGGCCCTCGGCCGAGGTGGGCGGCAGCTGGCGGCCTCCATCAGCAGCTCCCGCAGATGGGAGCTGACACCAGAGCCTTGCTGAGCGATACGTCAAAAAGCTGAAGTAAAACCAGGGGGAGGAGGAGGCTGAGGCGGTTGAGGTCCTCGGGCCTGCAGCTGGGCTGCCCGCCCGCTCAGTCGGCCTGCTGCAAGTGCAGCGTCGGCCGACACCCTTCGGCCTGATCTGGGCAGGACTGAGGCGGTGAGGAGGCAGCGGCGGGGGTGTGCTGAGCTGCGTTCTGGTCCAGTTCCCCAGAGAGAAGGGGCGAAGGGTGATTCGCACCATTGTGTCTCCGCAGGGGAGCTTCTTGGCAGATTAATCCTTTTCCTAGTGACCTGCACTCAGCACAGTGGCGTTTCAAGCACACAAAGTGCCTTCTATTAACAGTCCGAGGAGGAGAATTCGAGCAAAGAAATTATAAACTAACTGAACTGGTGGAGGGGAGCCTGGCCCGCCTCAGGAGACCGACCTGGCGGCCCCAGCCCACCGCAGGCGCCCGGTGGTGGCAGCTGCCGTGGGCCAGAGCCGAGGGCCTGTCCCACGCCCGGCGCCTTCCGTTTCCAGACGGATTGTCCAAGGTCTGTGGCAGGCGTCCTTAGCAAGCTGCGTTTCCCAGGCCAGACTCTGCCTACTAGAATGTCCTTTCTGTCAGCATTTAGTGGCTAATTAGCGCCTGGCAAGATGCAAGGGCCCCGAGCAGGCCGGGCTGTGCTGGTGCAGTGGGCGGGATGCTCTGGAAAGTCGAACTCGGCGCAGCTGGTGCTCGGAGATTGCACCACCTCTGAGCACCCTGGCCCTGAGGAGAGCGTGTGAGTTGAGCACACGCCACTCGTCCCCTGAAGACCTACTGTGTGTCAGGTGTTGGAGGTCAATGCGATCACATAGCCTCGTTTCACCCCCCACTCCCAGTGGGCATTTTTTGGGGGGTGGGGTGGGGCTGCAGCATTGTTTTAAAGATTGATGTATTCATATAGAACTGGGATACAGGCCAGAGGTGCAGGGGCAGGGAGGTTTCAGCAGACACAGTGAGGAGTAGAACCGGCAGATGGATGAGGGGAGCAGCGGGCGGGTCGGGAGAGGTCTGCCACACCACGTAGTCACCTCCAGGGCAGGCGGGGATCGAACTCATGGGGAAGCGGCTTCAGCTTCTCGGTGCTGCGCTTTCCCCGCCGCGCCACCGGGCTGCAATTAAATCAGTTGTGCCAGCTCTAGTCTCCTAGTGGAGCAGGGGTCAGCCCAGCTGTCCCCAGCCACAGCAGCACAAGTCTGACTTGGGCCGGGGAGGGGCCCAGGGCGCAGCAGACCCCTCCTGTCTTCTGCTGCCTCCTAGCAGTGGATTTCAGTGGATCCACCTGTTCTGCTCTCCACTTTCATCTGGGGAATCCTCTTACCCCCCCCCACCCCTGGTCTGTACCCCAGTTCTTGTGTACATAAATAAATATTTTAAAAAAATTTTTTTACCAGATCACAAAAGCTAGACTTAAAAAGTTGGTAAAATAGGGGCGTGTGGCACAGATGCACCCACGGTGTGGAGCTTTCCTGCACAGAAACACTTCACATGCTTGCTGGGAGAATCTGATGTGGGAGTCAGGCCTCGGGTTGGCGCACAGGGTCCTGCCGGTGACTGGCACGCAGCCATTTCACCGGTGAGGCAGGAGGGAGGGACAGACCCATCCGGAACTGTCCCAAGGGGCCAAGGTCACAGGCAGTGTCCCTAAGGTCTGCCACTTCCCACCTGGGGGACAGCTGAGGACAGTCCCTGCTTGTCATGACGCCCTGAGATCCTCACCCAGTGGCCCCTCGGGGTGCGTGTCTGGTAGGGGTGGCTGGAATCTGGCTGGACCTTAGGGGGGCCCTCTCCCAGCAGGTGCGCGCCAGCGGCAGGCCTGGGCTAGGCCGGTAGGGCTTTCTCGGGGAGCACAGAGCACGACCAGCGCCTTAGGGGATGGCTCGGCTTTCCCAGGTTCCTTTCCCCGCCGAGTTTGGGCGGGGCCTGCCTGTGGCCTCCCCTCTCCCCTGGAGAGGAACGCCTGGGGCGTTCTTCTGGAACCCTGGGGGCGCTGGGGGCCGCCCCCGCGGGGAGCGAACGGGACACCGCCC